CCCACCACCACCGCTGCGCTCACCAGCCATAAGCCTGGTTTCTGGCTGAGCAGTGTCCCCCAGGTGGTCAGTGCACACCAGTCATTCTGGTCGTTCCGCCGTAACGGTTGCTTAGGCTTCTAGTATATGATAAATTTGTGTTTTTCAGGGGGAAATGCATTTCAAATTCCAAAGCTCAGGTTAATTATGAATTCTTGAAACATAACAATTTGTAAGTGGGTGGCTACCTGTAAAAATGCTGGCAGTGGCTTAAGCAAGCTGGCATTATTAGGAAGAAGAGGAACTGGCTCTTAAGTCCTCTGCTTATAGGGTCAGCAAAAGAACTGGAAGTATCACCAAGTCTACTGCAGAGAAACTTAAAATAGCTCCTTGTCATCACTACATGTTTAGTGAAGGACGAGGGGGAAAAGTCTCTTTAATTAACTTCAAAGAACATTTTGAAAAAGAAGACAATATGGGAGCAATTATTAGTTTTATTAGTAGGATCACAAAAGATTATGAAAACTCATCCGATTGGTAGGCAGCTAATCAGAAGATTGATGCAAGGATATTAAAAAAACAAGTTTGTTCTTTAAAATGTGGAAGTTAAGCACCCTTGAAGATAATGCCTTCCCTAGTCACTGGCTTTCTAAAACATAGGGAAATGAAAAAGTGGAAGTGAAAGATTGAGTAATCAACCTAGTTTTGCTTTCAGGTCACTGGACTGACTAAACTAGGAAACATAAAATTCCAAAAGCCTGCAAAAATTCAGAAATTCATCAAAAAAGTGTTCACTGAGTGCTTCCTTTCTATTTCCAATGTATTTTAGAGCATGAGTGAGCACGCATGTACATGAGCAGACATAACATAGAATGGCTGGCTTGTACTGGTTCTAAAGGAGTAACTAAAAACATAAGAACCATAGAGTAAAGCAGCATCCCTGGTGAAAATGAAACCAAAAATTGAGCTGTGATTTATGACTTTCTGGAAGATAACCCTACGCTACAACTTAAACAGGTCTGCAGCAGGTGTGTAATCTTCTGCATCCACTCCCACCTGCACCCCACCAGCTCCTTCAGTACAGTATCTCTCTTAAGGCACCAAAGACTTTCAAACTCCTACTTGTGTTATCTAGCCTTAGCCTTATCCTGTAATGCTCTTTCCCTCTATTCCCTCCACTACAGCCTCAGTGGTCTTTTGTTCCATAAATACTCAAGCCCATTCTTGGTGTAGAAACTTGTTCTAGCTCTTCTCTCTAACTGAAAAGCTCTTCCTCTTGTCACAAGATAAATTCCTTCTTGTTACTTCCTCAGAAAAGTGTTTCCCATACCTAAACAACCACTCTAGTGCTGATATTATTTATTTTTAGATTTGTTTATACTCTTCTGTTCCCACGAGAATGTAAGATCCATAGAGCAAGGATCTTGTCTGTGTTGGCCACCATTATATTCTCCACACTGAGAACAGTTCTGGCCTATAGCAGACACTCAATAAACATACTGACTATGTAGACGAAGAGTGGTCATTCAGTATTTATTGAGCATGGTGCCCTATGCTGGCTACATAATGCAAACTCAAGTAAGAAAGCTCATGGACCTTTCAGTTTTGTGAAAGACCATAAGCAAGGGAACACACAAATACTTGCATATTGTAACAAATGCTATTAAGGAAATAAGTGTTATGATTGAGAATTGAGGAGAGGCTATTTTAATTAGGGTGGTTAGAGCAAAAAGGTACGTGCCTGAAATGAATTTGGAGAGGTAGGTTGGGAGCCAGATTATGTAAGGGGAATGCCAAGAAGTTTGAAGTTTATTGTATATTTTAAAATTGGAAGCTTTTAGGATTTTAAGCAGAGAATGAAAGCTGATTTGTGTTTTTAAAAGTATCTTAGACTTCTAGTCAAGTTGACTTGAGGTTCACAAACTCCCCATCTTTTTCTAAAACATCATTGAATGAATACAGAAAATTTCAAAAGAATATCCCAAGTATATACACAATTAATATTTCTATGAACAACAAAAAAAAAGAAAAGTATACTAAATCAGTTAAGTCAAATATCATGCCCACAGACATGCACCCTAGGCTTAAACAATTTTGTGGATGAATCTTATCCACTCTTTGAAAAAAACAAATAACCTCTATGTTTACAAACTGTCCTATGAGAGCATGAATACGAAGGATCCACTCAGCTTGAGGATAGTGGTTACTTCTGAAGAGGGAGTGGAATGGGATGGTGGAGGCTACAAAGAAAGTTTCAGCTATATCCATACCTTTTAGTTCCTGAAAAGGTCTTAATTGGCAAAATGTGAATAGCCCTCAAGTATGAGTGGTAGGTACAAAGATGCCATTATCTTGTACTCCACATTTTCTATGTTTGATATATTTGAAATAATTTTTAAAAAATCAATTGTGCCTGATGTCTACACCTTGAAATGGAAGAGAGCAAGAGTGAAACAGGAAGCCCTTCTAGAAAGCATGTGTACAAATCCTGGCTAGAGTAATGGTGACCGAGACTCGAGGTGATAATAATGAGATGAAGTAGATTAAAGTAAGATTATATTTCCATGGAATAATTTGTGGAACTTATTGACAGACTGGATATGAGGAGCTCAGAAGAGGAAAAACTCAAGGTTAACTTATGGCTAAAGCAATGTGTACATGAAGGTGTCATTTTATCCGACGGAGAAAACTGGGAAAGGAACCAGTTAGAGGGCACGATAGAATCCTATTTTATGTTCATCTCCTATTTCTTCCACTCAGACATAAGCTCTTTATGGGGAGCATCTGTCTACTTTACCTTACCTCTGTATTCCCTAAAGTTCCTAACATAACTATGCCAAACCAATGTTATACAGTATACACTGCCTATGTTCAGTTGCTCCTCTGTATCTGGGATTCTACATCCATGGATTCAACCATGGATGAAAAAAAAGTTACATTGTTGCTGACATGTACGATGTAGTTAGGCCTGTGATAATTGTGTCTGTACTAAACATGTATGGACTTTTTTTCTCATTACTCCCTAAGCAATATAGTATAACAATTATTTACACAGCACTTACATTGTATTAGATATAAGTAATTTAGAGATAATTAAATTATACAGAAGGATGTGAGCAGATTATGTAAAGGATTTCACATCTGTGGATTTTTATATCTGCAGGGGATCCTGGAACCAATCCTCCCAGTAACCGAGGGAAGACTATATTGTTTTGAAAACCAGACAACCTCTTTAAAAAGTATCAGCTTTCAAAAACATGTGATATCACTTAATAGTCTAGTAACAAAAAGTAACTTTCAAGAAGTTCCAATACGTTTTCTCATGCAGCTTATTTAGATTTTTATGTTCCATATATATTTGTTTTCCACATTAAGCCATTTTAATTAATTTCATATGATTTTACCAGCTAGATGTATTATAAGCTATGCAATATTAAAAGGCAAACCACTGTAAATGGGATAAAATTTATAATAGGGTTATTATTACATAGCATCTCCTTATCAATTACTATTCATGTATTTTAGTTATACAGAGCCCCTTATCTCACATGATTCAAAAACAACCTCAAATAAGTAGGCAGGAACGTTTCTGTAATATTTAGAGTTGGTACTCACACCGAAAGCATTAGGTCCCTTATCATAAGGAAACTAATGCTTGAAGTGACTTGTCCAAGGGTGTACAGCAAGCTAATATAACTGCAAGCTAATTTTGCTATGCTTAAAGAGCTGATGCTATTCTAAGCTTATAAACATTATGAAAATGTATAATGACCAAATCTCCTCAAAATTTATCCAGAAGATAGACTCTAATTATTCCTTTGCTTACTTTTGAAGTCAGAATCATATGATACAGAGATTTTTCTAATACAATTATTGGAATGGTAGGAATAAAATCATGTAGACCTTCAAGGGACCATTAAAGCAAATCTGTTTTCCTTCCTAAGATAAAAAGGTCACCAAGTTTCTTTAGAGGGAATTAACTGTGTCTAAAAAGTCATAATACTTGAGAATATTATGATACCACAAGTTTCAATTCTTATTTTTATGTTGCTCAAAACCAAAACAAGTATATTTCAACCACTGCATTTGGCAACTATCCCTTTTTGGTGAACCATGACAACTAAGCATTAAGTCTAGGTCAATTTTTATTTCAAACACAGTGAATGCTGTGATTTTAAGTACTTTCAGAGTATCTTTATGCTTGTATTTCCCCTTCGTAATTTATTCCATTAACTTGGGGGTTTTGGGGAGGGCAAGGAGACCTTTCTGGTAGTTCAGAATTCAACAAAAGTAAGGTCCTCAAAGCCATACATATAACTATCCCTTACAAATTAATCAGGTCTTAACAATTTTTTTAATACCTCAGAAGCAGTACTTTTGCATGCCATAAGTAAATTCCAAAAGGTTTCTTAGGAAAATTGTTACAAATTTTTAAATGTGAGAATGGAGCCACTTAAAAATATAATGATCCCACATTTTTAGCAATGCCACTTGTTTCTGGGTTTACATAACTTTGTATCAATTTGATTTCTCTGTTTTAGAGGATGGATCTAAATGGAAACAGAATTGAGTTGAAAGGTGTAATAAGTGTGTACATCTCTTCTTAAGTTCAACATTGTATTTTTAGTGGATTTTATTTTGTAAAGAATAAAAACCAATGAAGGCGACACTGGAAAGTGACACCATGCGTACTTCAATAGTTTTACTCTGGCCATAGTGCAAAGTTAGAGATGGGAGAGTATTATAATAAAAGTAAGAGACTGGAAAGCTGTTATAATAGTCTAGGTCAGGAGAAAGCTTTATAAAGCCCAGATTTCTGGGTCCTATTCCTAGAGATTCTGAGTCAGTAGGTTTAGAGAAACTTCTCATATCCTTAGTAAAGAGCTAAACATGGCTGGCTGGTAGTGAGTTGGAGCATCAAAGGGAAGATACCCTTGATGCTGACACCTTTAAATGAGTATCAGGAACCCATAAAAGTTACAAGCTGATTCTGCATTTTTACCACAAATGAACAGACTCACCTGGATCAGGGTCATATTTTAGGTCCAATGGGCGTACAACAGGGTGGTATTCCTTCTAAACATAATATAAATTAAAACAGATTTAATTTCACCACTTAATGCCTCATATAAACATTTTCTTCAGCTAATGTAAGCAAATATACTATTAGTTGTACCATTCTTTTGCCCCCCCAAAAAACCTCCCAAAATGAAATCCTGCAATCTGTAGGAAAGGGAGAGGAAAAGAAAAGATCAATCTAAGTCTGAACTATACCTTTTATAGTATTGCCACCTACTGCATACACTAAGAAATTACACCATAAAAAATTTAAGACAAGCAATCAAGCAAATTAAAGGCACAGAGACTAAATTTTGTGTTTCAAGTACTAGGTAGTCTCCAAATTATGAGTGAACTGTTTTTCAAAAGTTCACTTTAAGACAAGGGTTTGGAACTCAGAACTCATATTCCCACAGAAACTGTTTTTAAAAGTGGCTGCCACTGCCATGTCAGCACATTAAAGCCTATATATCCTGTGATACACTAGGACTACAGTAGCAGAATTATAGGAACAGGATCTACAATTCAGGCAAAAAGAGGAAAATCTTCCTCCTTACTCTTGCCCAAAGCTAGCAAGAGCCAAGAAGGTTTTTTAAAAAGCTGTCTTGGGAGCTGGGGTCTGGGGGTGGTGGTGGAGGGATTGAGAAAGAGAGAAAAGAAGCTGACTTAGAATAGAAGTAATCCTGTTATTTGCAGATTTTTAATATTTCCTACAACTTTTGTGATATGCTATGTTAGTACAGTTTTGGTAATATTATTATATTTAAAATCTTTTTTATTGAAATATTAATGTTTATTGCATGTAACATTATTATACTTAAAATCGTTTTTCTTGAAAACAAAAAAATAATAAATAAAAAATAAATTTAAAAAAAGAAGCTGTCTTGCCCTAGCCAGTTTGGCTCGGTGGATAGAGCATCAGCCTGCGGACTGAAAGGTCCCAGGTTCAATTCCGGTCAAGGGCACATGCCAGGGTTGTGGGCTCGATCCCCAGTGGGAGCGTGCAGGAGGCAGCCGATCAATGATTCTCTCTCATCATTGATGTCTCTCTCTCTCTCTCTCTCTCTCTCTCTCTCTCTCTCTCTCTCCCTTCCTCTCTGAAATCAATAAAAATATGTTTAAGAAAAGTGGAGACTATGTCCTCTCTTTAAAAATTAAAAAATAAAAAAAGTAAAAATAAAAAAAGAAACTGTCTTTAGTATCTTCACCCCATCCGTTTTGCATCACTTTTAAACTTCCACAGCAGTACCTTGATTAGGCCTGCCAACTTTCTTTCTTTTTGCGATACTGATTACTAGGTTTTTTTCAGGGAAGAAGGGGTAGTTAATAGGAAAGGAGACATATTTTGAATGTCTTTCCTAAGAAAACTTTAAAAAGGGGGTGGGGAATGAAGTAGAGTATTTCTTTGAAGAATAAGTGCTACAGAAGAAAAAAGGAAAAATTCTGCTTATAAATATTTTTTCTCATAGAATGACTAAAATATTTTAGATAAAGTACCTGCCTTTACTGTCTAAAACAATTCCTGAAAGGAAAGTAATCAAAAGATTTTTATGTAAAGTATGCTCATTTTAAAAACTAAGGGAAAAGAGTATATCACAATGTAAAACAACATGTATTTCTAGCTGTAGAGGCCAAAGCCACTTCCCCACAAACCTACTTTTGACCCATGATGACTTTGGGAGCTAAACAAATTACACACAATTCATAAAGCAAATTTCAGTATTACGAAAAGGTACTCAGTTTTCACCATGAATTTGACTAAAGGGTCTTCCAAAATATGTACTCATCTATACTTATAATAGGGTAATATGCAAATTGGTCAGGACACTGTCACATAACGGCCAATCAGTAGGAGGGTGGGACAGCAAGCTACCTGCAGCAAAGAGCTACAGGAGGGTGGAGCAGCGAGCTACTCGAGCACAGATCTGTGTGCAGGGCCACTGGTATACAAATAATATGCTAAACACAAATGACAAATAGAAAGAAAAGCCTTAAAACATAAATTTCTCCTTTTTTTCCCTTCCTGGTATCAGAATTATAAAGTCATTGTCAATCTTCCATCTTCAAAGTCTATGTTAGTGTGTTAGAACAGGAAAAAGTCTTCAAGGGACAAAAACAGTAGCAATTGAAGGAAAAATAAAAATGTCATTTATCTCTACATGAATTCTATACTTTAATTTTTTATTGTAGTTATACAGACACAACATAAACTTTACTATATTAAAGATAAATCATCTTACCAGAATTTCTTGTTTTGCTTTTATAATTTTTATGACACATTCAAGGATCTTTCTGGGATACTGCTTACGTTTCGTGGCTAAGTCTACTATGATTTCATCAAAGTGATCTTCAAGTTCTTTGATATCAGAATCTATTTAAAGAAAAAAACATATCAAAAAAATTTCTTAAAACACTGTTTATATTCTACATAGACATGTAATGTAATTAAACTAAATTTAGAAAACAGAGAGTAATTAAGGAAAACAAATATGGCAAGTTAGTGGATGCCCTCACTTTGGTGATTGATTCATTCATATATTGAACAATTGATTAATCAGAGAAACCTATTTTTTTTTTAATACTAAATACTAACTTCTATTATAATACTCTCACAGTTATAGGGGGAAAGAGGCCCCGGCCAGTTAGCTCAGTTGGTTAGAGCATCATCCCAATATGCCAAGGTTGCAGTTCGATCTCAGGTCAAGGCACATACAAGAAGCAACCAATGGCTCTGGCAGGTTTTGCTCAGTGGATAGAGCGTCAGCCTGTGGACTGAAGGGTCCCGAGTTCAAATCCCATCAAGGGCACATGCCTGAGCTGTGGGCTCAATCCCCAGTAGGGGGCATGTAGGAGGCAAACGATCAATGATTCTCTCTCATCATTGATATTCCTCTTGCTCTTTCCCTGTCCCATCCTGTCTAAAATCGATACAAATATTTTCTTTTTTTAAAAAAGCAACCAGCAAATGCATAATACATGCAGGAAAAAAATCAATGTTTCTCTCTCCCTTCCTTTCTCTCTAAAATCAATAAATTTTTTTAAAGTTTTATTAAATACTAAAGGTCATCAGCTTAACTGGTCTTATAGCTTGTGTTCTGCTATGTCAAAGCTTCATTAGTGAGAAGAACCATACGTATTTTTTGGAACCCTTTTTAGACACTTCTGATATATATCAGCATATATTTACATATTGGGTAGATATAACTGAGGTGCAGTATGGCCTTTCATTTATGTAACAAATATTAAGTCCAACTAAATTACTTATTTTGAAGATTATTAAAAGAGATATGGTCATTTCTTACTTTGAAAAGTCATTTAAATGAGCAGCCTCCCCTAAATTTTAATTTCCATTTGAAAAGTTTAATCGCTAACCTGAAAGGAAGAATGTACTATTTCACAATCAGCTAAAAAAGAAAAAATCAAGTCTCCCAGCTAAATCTTCTATGTAGGGAAGAAAATGGTTTCATAGCGCCACCTAATGATAAAGCTATAAAAGTGAAATGTATAAACAATTTGAGCAGGGAAGAGTCATTAATTCAACAAATATTTAGTGGGTGCCTACTGTGTGTCAAGCTAAGTGTTAAAAACATAGTAATGAGAAAAAAATATAGTCCTTGCTTTCAAGGAACTTACATTTTAATTTTTAAATGTGCCTGGTCAATCGTCCTAAAATCAAGTCCACTCAGGGTAGTTAAGGGGCAGAAAAGAAGTTGCTTTCACTTATATGTATATTCCTATGTTCCCTATATTCATTCATTTGCTCATTCGTTTGTCCACTCATTTATACAATGATCTCAGGGAATAAAATAGACAAAAACCTCTGCCCTTGTGAAGCTTACTTATTGCTTCTATGTATCAAGAGCAGATACAAATCCTATTAATTCTATCTGCTGAACATCTCTTGCACCTTTTTCTCTCCTTTCCCACTGTCATAGGGCAGATCTTCAAGGTATTATGCTGTACTACTGCAATAACCTCCCTAAGGTTCGCCTGCCTTGAATTTTTCCCTTCTCCAATTCATCCGCACACAGAGCCAGCAGTTAGCTTTCGTGTTAAGTTCTACTTAAAAGCCTTCACCAGTCCTGGCCGGTTTGGCTCAGTGGATAGAGCATCGGCCTGCGGACCAAAGGGTCCCAGGTTCGATTCCAGTCAAGGGCACATGCCTGGGTTGCGGGCTCAGTCCAATGTGCAGGAGGCAGCCAATCAATGATTCCCTCTCATCATTGATGTTTCTGTCTCTCTCTTCCTCTCTGAAATCAGTAAAAATACATTAAAAAAAAAAGCCTTCACCAGTTCCCCATTATCTACAACAGTGGTTCTCAACCTGTGGGTCGCAACCCCTTTGGCAGTCAAATGACCCTTTCACAGGGGTCGCCTAAGACCATCCTGCATATCAGATATTTACATTATGATTCATAACAGTAGCAACATTACAGTTATGAAGTAGCAACAAAAATAATTTTATGGTTGGGTCACAACATGAGGAACTGTATTTAAAGGGCCCGAAGGTTGAGAACCACTGGCCTACAAGGTAAAGTACAAATTCTTCAGCACATCCTAGAGGGCTCTCTGTGATCTGGCCCCAACTTATCTTTCTGACCATATCCGCCATTAGTTTTCCTAATTCATTTCTGACATTTTCAAAACATAGCACTCCTTTGTGCCTTTGCACATGCTATTTCCTCTCCTTGAAATGTCCTTCCTACTTCCTTTCTGTCTAGCACATTCTCATTTATTACATGCATTTAACAACCTAGTGTGTTATGTCTACTCCCACTTCCCAAAGAGTATAGTGTCCTTGTCCATTTCCTTCCATTAACGATGAGTTGCTAAATGGTAAGGACCATGTCCTTGCATCTATTTCCTGGCATTTGGCATAGTGGTTGACATTTATCAAGAGCCCATGAAAAAAGCAAATTTTAACTATTTTCCCTCACAGTTATAAGGGGGGAAGGGGACAAAGATATACATACTCCACCCAGGTTACTAACCTTTCAGGAAATATATGTGTTAATCTATAAATTGATTAATCCTATTGCTAAAGGCAGTCTGTGCCAATCAATAAAGCAATTCCAAAGTGACCTTAGAGAAAAAGAGTCAGATAAAGACACAGTAAAGGCTGTATAGCTTGAACTTCTAGATCAGCCGTGGGCAAACTACGGCCCGCGGGCCGGATCCGGCCCGTTTGAAATGAATAAAACTAAAAAAAAAAAAAGACCGTACCCTTTTATGTAATGATGTTTACTTTGAATTTATATTAGTTCACACAAACACTCCATCCATGCTTTTGTTCCGGCCCTCTGGTCCAGTTTAAGAACCCATTGTGGCCCTCGAGTCAAAAAGTTTGCCCACCCCTGTTCTAGATGGTTCTGATGCACTCCCTCTTCCCTACAATTACTCTAATAATATTTGAGAAATCCAATGTTACTGTTTTTAATGTCTTAATACATAAACCAGAAAGTACAATATAGTAACTCTGAGGAAATAACTACTACATAGGGATGTGCAAAAGTAGGCTTATAGTTGTGAGTACACAAAACAGTTTATTCTTGTATTATTATTTATTAATTATTATATTATTTGTATTACAACTGTAAACCTACTTTTGCCTATCCCTGTAATAATCCCAAGTCTTCTGGGCAAAGTATTATCTCAATGTTGAAAAAAAAATTACAACCACACAGGGTTATTTGATGGGCTTGGAATCAGCTCAAGGGTATCTGAATAATCAGAACAGTTAAAAGTGGTATTAAACTATGCTGGTCAGATCTCTATAATATCACTATGGGGACAGACAAAACACGCTGGCCCACTTCTCAGGACACTGCTGAAGAATTGTGCTTCTTTCCCCACACTGATCATTATTATTTTTCTACTGATTTTTTTCTTCCTACACTGAACATTTTCTTTCTACCAAAAACTTGGGATTTCTTTAGATATGTCAATAACATTAGTTAGGGTACAATCAAGTCTGCTTTGGACCAGGAAAATGTTGTCTTTTTAAGGAGGCTCTCTAAATATTGATCTCATACTTGACATAGTATTCTTATAGTTTAACTTCACATTTCTAAGGGTACTTCACTGTCTAAGGATCACTTGTAAAAATACAACTTGATTCATAAGGTATTAATCATAGGAATTCTCTGGGCCTTTTTCTTCAACTGGGGATAGTTTCACAGTATTTTCCAAGCAACTATTGACAAGGGTACTTTTAAAGATTGATCTGATGAAAGTCTCGTTGAGATGCCAGACAGAAATATAAAGATCAAGGTACCTACTGTGTTGTTTTCCTCAGATTACAACCAACAGTCTTCTAGATTAGTTTTCTCCCCCCCGTCCCAGTAAAATACATTTTAAAGAGAACATGAAAATGAAGACTCAAAATAAAGTAGCTACAAAAATAACTCAGAAATTAGCAACCAAAGGAGAAAGTTACATCACTTACCCCTGAAACAATCATCTGAAGCTTCTTGCCATGCCTGCCCATTAATGCTGACATTCTCTTGCACAGCAGATTCAAAAGTCTGCAATACATTCACAATAGTAATGTCACTAAAAATAACTTTAAATACTGAATTTAAACATTTTGGCAAGATAATCTGTTTGTTTTTTGTTAATCCTCGCCGAGGATACTTTTTCCATTGATTGTAGAATGGAAGGGAAAGAAGGTGGGAAGAGTGAGAAACATTGATGTGAGAGACACATGGATTGGTTGCCTCCCAACATGCCCCAACCGGGGGCGGGGATCACACCTACAACCCAGGTACATGCTACCCTTGACTGGACTCAAACCCTTTGGCGTGTAGGCCAACACTCTAACCACTGAGCAATGCCTGCCAGGGCATAATTTCAGATTTGTGAAAGAGAATATTTAAAAAGTGGCAGACTAGACTATTAGTATACTATTTTCAATGAAGATTCCATTGTAATTAATTCTACCTACACTTTCACTGATAGCCATTAAGCTACCTATGAGATAATTCAATCCAAAATTTTAGAATATTCTTTCAAACAAAAATATATATACTTCTTAAATGAAATAAAAAAATAAAACCTAACAAATTTGGGCTCAGTTGAATCTCAAGAGTATAAATACTACATATACTGTGAATGAACGTCATTGTTAACAAGAAGAAAAATATATATGCTTAAAAGAAAGTGAAATTATGTCTGCTTTATAAAGGACTGTATTTTTTAGAGATGTATACTGAAATATGTAGGATGAAATGACACGACATCTCGAATTTGTGTGAAAATTAGAAGTAACAAATTTTTGATAACTGTTAAATTTGGTGATGGATATATGGGTGTTCACTGTACTAGTCTATTTTTTTGTAGGGGAAGGCAGAGAGGATTGGTGGGTGGAAGGTAATCAACCAAAGACCTTATATGCATACATGCATAACCCATGGACACAGATAATAGGGTGCTGAAGGCCTGGAGCAGGGGTGGGGGGGTGAGGGCGGGCTGGAGGGAGTCAATGGGGGGAAAAAGGGACATATATAATACTTTCAACAATGAAGAATTATTTTTTTAAATGTTAATACATTAAAAAATAAAGGACTGCCCTGGCCAGTGTTGCTCAATGGTATCAGCCTGCAAACTTAAGGGTCAGGGGTTCAATTCACTTCCCAGCCCTGTTCGGGGCATGTGCAGGAGGCAACCAATCAATGTGTTTCTCTCACATTGATGTTTCTCTTTCTCTTGCCCCCCGCCCCCCTCGACCCCCGCCTCCACTCTTTTTCAATGGTAAAAAAATCCTAGGGTGAGGATTAACAAAAAGTAAAAAGAAAATAAAAGATTAAAGGAATATGGAAGCACCACTAAAATTTTGAATGCACATACCCTATTATCTAACAACTAGAGGCCCAGTGCACAAAATTCATGCACGGGTAGAGTCCCTAGACCTGGCTGGAGATCAGGGCCGATCTGTGGGGCAATCAGCAGGGTGAACAGGGGGCTCCCACTAGCACCCACCTTGACTGGCCTTGGGGCCTGCAGGCTGGGGACAGCTCCTGTGTTGAGCGTCTGCCCCTTGGTGGTCAGTGCACATCATAGCGACTGGTCATCTCATTATATAGGATGAGAATAGTCCTTTAGGTTAGGATACATTGCTAGAAGTGAGATCCTATATAATAAAAGCCTAATATGCAAATTGACCAAATGGCTGAACGACCGGTTGCTGTGATGCACAATGACCACCAAGGGGCAGACACTCATAACAGGAGCTGCCCCCTGTGGTCAGTGTGCTCCCACAGGGGGAGCACTGCTCAGCCAGAAACCGGGGTCACGGCTGGCAAGCGTAGTGGCGGGAGACTCTCCCGCCTCCGCAGCAGCACTAAGGACCCCGTGGGGGTCCCAGACTGCGAGAGGTCACAGGCCAGGCTGAGGGTCCGCGCCGCCCCCCCCCCCCCAGTGCACAAATGTCATGCACCGGGCCTCTAGTAAGAACATAAAGAGGATACACTAGGAATGTTTAATTTAGCACTGTTTGAAATTATAAAATACTGAGGAGAAAAATCACAAAATTTAAATTCAAAATTAGAAGAATGGTTAAATATTCAATATATTCATACCATGCAATACTTGAAAGGAATGAAGTATATTTGTACATAATACTGACAGACATATTTGGTAAAAGAAAAAAAAATGGGGGAGAGCAGGTTGCTAACAATACATCAGCATGACACTTAATGTATAAAACAAAACAAAAAAACAGAAAGAGAGAGGGAAAGAGAGAAAGTGAGAGAGAGAGAGATGTAAAACCATAAAGAAGGGTGTAGAAGGATTATAACCTCTATGTACCCTCCAAAATAGTAAATTTTTTCCAGGAAAGAAGAGGGATGGGGAAGGGAAATTCGAAGACTTTGCTTTATGTTATTTTATTTTTTTTTACAATGAGGATATATTTGGTATTTTGTATAATTAAAAATAAGCGTAAATCAAATAATGCATAATTATGAAATAAAATACGTTATTTTACACTTTAAAATTTTTATAAAGTAAGATATTTACTTTATATGTGGACTTCCAAGGATTATCTGGGAATACAAATTGTCATTGTAGTACTGGCACAATTGTACCAATACTACTTTTTAAAGAAAATCTGTTACTATATTATGTGGTTTTTAGACAGAGGTACATGAACATAATTAAAGCCTCTGCCTTTTATTTGTTCTCCTATTTAAAATAAAACACAAGTCGATTCCCTTGGTCGTTTACCTTCGCAGTTCCTAGAAAGGGGCAAACTCTAAGATCGTTACACAATAAAACAGTCTCCTTCCCAAAAAACCACTGAGAGCGTCTTTGGTTACAGGAGGGAATAAGCGCCACTGTTTACACAAAACGGGAATACAGCACAACTCGGGGAGTATTTCTTCATTCGCCTTCCACTTCACCTTTATTTTTATTGTTTGCATTATGATCATTCACGCTCACCGGTGTGCTGCATTTAAAATTTTTAAGCTTTTTTTCCTACATATAAAATGTGTGCTTTGTTATGACAGCCACCAATCCCTCCATTTGTTGTACCTTTCCCCCTAAAAAAAAAAAAAAAAAAAACTATCTTCAAAGGCTTTATTTACAAAATATTTGAGAAAGGAACGGGAAATGTGCTCTAAGGGCCAGTTATGATCTTAGGAGAAGTTTATAATCAAGACAGCTTCCTTATCTGGTTTAGACTTATAGGGGAGATGTTTTCACTCTCTTCACAAGATATTCTTAAAACACAGGCAAACGGAAAGGCCAAAAGCTAGCCTGGTGCCCGACTGACTTCCAGGATTCCCGTTCCCGGAGAAATCCTCCCGGGTCTGCGTGCACGCGAACCGGGCGCTGCCAGGCCTTGAAAGGCGGCTCATCCCAAAGAAGATGAGCTGTACGTTTCGGACACCAAACGGGAAAAGCCGGGCACTAACAAAAGCACGAAAAATATCTCCGTCGGGTTTTTAAAAGTGTTATTATTAAGTTAAAACGCTATCTTGGTCATAGTGGGTTAAGTAAAACATGTTACTGCAGTGAATTTCACCTGTCTTTTCTAACTTTTAATAAGTTACCTACATAGCTCGCCTCGTTCTTTTCTATTGGGCAGCGTGGGTCTCTCTCTAGGTAATTAATGCCCGGCGGCCACTAGATCTATTTCGTCCCCTCGCGCTCCTCGGGCTGCTCTTCCTGAGCCTGGGCACCGCTAACTCTGCCCGCGCAGCCTCTCGAGCCCCAAGACCGGGGAAGAGGGTGAAACGACAAGTGCCGGCTACTGGGCCCGTACCCACTGCGCGTCTCGCAGCGCGGGCTCCCGAATCTCCTCCGGCAGCGCGTCCCCGAGCTGTCGCACGAAGCGGCCGCACAGTTCCACCAGCTCCAGCACGGCCTGCTTCGAGGTGCAGCGCACGCGGAAGTCCTCGCGGGGAGTGGCGGGGCCCGGGGTGCGGTCTTCTGTCCCGGCCGCTCGCTCCAGGTCCCGCGGAGGCGAAAGTCTCACCAACTCGGGAGCCCCCGCCATTTTCCCAGTTTGAAGCGGGGGCGGGAACTCTGGGAGCGGAAGCGAGTGCCACCGGGCGAAAGTGTCCGGGTGCAGCCGGAAACTCAGAGCGCCGCCGCAGCGAGGTTCCGGGCCGAGGCTGCGCGGGCGGATTCCAGGGCGACGCCAGCCGCGGCGATGGGGGCGGTGGGCGGAGGGCTGGTGGACTGCCACTGCCACCTTGCCGCCCCGGACTTCGACCGCGTATGTGAGGGCGAGGCCGGGCCGTGGGAGTGGGGAGACCCCCGCCCCCCCCCCCTACTTATCCGGGCTACCTGTGCTCTCCTTTCTTAGGACGGAGCCCAAGACTCACCCAGGCCGGTCTGTCGCTGCACCGACTTGCTCCTGACTCCCTACTTATTAACCGCAGTCGTACTGATCTTTCTTTCCGATCTGCATAGCCTAAGCCAGGTGTCTCCTCTTCCATTTGCTGTTGCCGGTTACCGGAGTTCTTCCCCCTGCCTGCGCTTGGCCCGGCTGAGAATCCACTTTTCCTGATCCCATGCAAACAGAAAGAACAATACACACACCAGATCAGAGTTACAGTGTCTTACCCCCTCTATTGGAAACCAGAGGCTTCTAATGGAGAAGGAAGAGCGGAGTCCGTTCAAACAGAAGATGGGTGTAGGGCAGTGATGACCGCTGGCAGGTTGACCTGGCACATTCATGCTACCAAGTGCTGGATGGAGCGTGATGGGCTAGAAAGAGAGAGGCATGAAAAAGACCGAAGAGGTTTGCAGGGACAGGTGTGGTCAGTCAGTAAGGAGTTTGGGTTTCATTAAAACAACAGTGCGAATCTTGTCTTTTTTTTTTTTTTTTTTAAGAGAATGACAAGATCTGATACTCATTTACTAATAAAAACTTTTGCTGATGTGTGGCAAACAGAGGAGAGCGAGGGTGGAAGCTGGAAGACCAATTTGGAAGCTTCTGCAGTATGTAGACAAGAGGTGATGGTGGGTGCAGGGGAGTTTGGGAGAAGCAGATGGATTGAAGGTATATTTTAGAGGTAGGATCTTTGTGCTGGGGAATTGGATGTGGAGAGGGAGGGGAAGTGAGGACTTGATGCTGTAGGGAGGACGGTGGTGCTGTTTCCTGAGCTGAGGGAAGGCTGAAGGAAGAGGTTTGCTGGGGAGAACACAGAGTTGGTTATGTTGAAGCCTAAGACCCATCCAAGTGGAGATGTCATAGCATCATTCTTTTTTATTTTTAAGGTTTGTTTGTTTTTTACATTTTTCTTTATAGTCATTCTTAAATGTGAATCTGGGGTTTTGGAAAGAATTAAAGACTGAAGATAACAACCGGGGACTCATTAGCATAGTAATGAATGACATTTAAACCCGTGGGTAAGATCACTTCAGGTGAGTACAGAGGGGGGAGCATAGGGTCCTGAAGTCAGAGAGAGGAGAAAGAGCCAGTCAAGAAGACTGAAAAGTAGCAGCCAGTAAAAGAGTGGTGTTTGCAGGTGAGCAGTGTTGCAGAAGCCAAGCGTGGAAAATATTTCTGGAAGGGAGGGGTGGATACATGAGGAGCTCCTAAATGCTGCTGAGGGTTAAGAGACAGGGAAGTGCCCTCTGCAGTTGACAATAACAGTTTGTGTCTCAGTGGAGTGGAAACAGATGCAAAATGCTACTAAGAAAAAGAAAGCGGAAATGAAGGGTGGGTCAGTCAGTGTAGGTTCTTCACATTCTAGCACACTGTTCCTTGCCATCATTGTCATTCTTTACGGTGCCTCAACTACTAGTACAGTGATATACACAGCCAAAGAGCAGCTACTTATTCATCTAAAATAATTGTGATAACTTGTGCTTATTTTAGGATCTGGATGATGTGTTGGAGAAAGCCAAGAAAGTAAGTCAATATCTATAATTGCCCTTTTTTGGTTTTTGTTTTAGATATGCTATATTAATGCTTCAGTAAGAATAAGTTGCATTTATTAAGTGTTTACTGTGTGACAAGTACTGACCTAAGCCCTTTCTGTACATTATTTCGTTTAATGTTTCACAACCACCTTCTGAGGAAGCTTCTATTTTTTAGGCAACTATTGCCCATTTTGTAGATGAGGAAACTAAGGCCTAGAGACTAACTTGTCCAAAAACACACCGCTAGTAAAATGATACAGACAAGATAGTCTGAATCCAAACATGTTCCCCCAGCCATCATACTTACCAGCAATATGGAACAGATTATCCATCTGTTGGTTCTAAAATTAACATTACCCTGGGGATTTTGGAGAAATGATAAAAGTTTTGGGAACCATTTTGATTTGTTTGAGAAAAATTATTAATTTTTGAAGTGCTTATAAAATTCATTATCACTAGCATTTCATGGTCTTCCCTCAAAGTATTAGTTTAGAAGTAGCTGCCAGTATATTTTTATATTCAACCCTCTTGCACTATGACATTAATTAGAAGTGTGGGCTTTGGAGTTACACAGGCCTAATGATCTTGGTCAAATTATTTCACTCCATCCAGAATTCTGTCTCCTGATCTATACAATGGATTGTAGCAATGCCACCTCATAAGGTTGTGTAGATTAAACGGAGGTAATATTTATGTTCACTGAACACAGTGCCTGAAACATAGTAAGTATTCAGTGATAGCCATTATGATTATACTGACGGAGTATGGATGTGCAAGAATAACTAAAACACAGAAAACTTTATAATTCTATTTAATTATATTGGATGTATATTGCTCGAGACTCTAGCTAGTCTATTCTGTTCTTTTTTGTTTCAGGCCAATGTTATGGCTCTTGTGGTGGTCGCTGAACATTCAGGAGAATTCGAAAAGATTATGCGGCTTTCAGAAAGGTGCGGCTTCTCATTAAGAACTTAAAGAGTTGCTAATAAGGCCGAAACCGGTTTGGCTCAGTGGATAGAGCATTGGCCTGCGGACGGAAGGGTCCCAGGTTCGATTCCGGTCAAGGGCATGTACCTGGGTTGCGGGCATATCCCCAGTGGGAGATGTGCAGGAGGCGGCTGATCGATGTTTCTAACTCTCTAGCTCTCTCCCTTCCTCTCTGTAAAAAATCAATAAAATATATTTAAAAAAAAAAGAGTTGCTAATAAGGATGCATTATGATGTCATGTTCATGATATCAAAGATTATCCATTTTTAAAGAGAATGAGAAAGAAAATATTAATATAGCCCTAAAAATATGTCATACTTATTCTTTAGAATAACATTGTCTGCTAGTCTAATAATTCGGCTTCTCAATTCATTCTACACTGTTAGGTATAACGGGTTTGTCCTGCCATGCTTGGGTGTTCATCCAGTTCAAGGACTTTCACCAGAAGAACAAAGAAGTGTCACATTAAAGGTAACAGTAACAGTCAGATAAAACAAGAACCATAGAACATGATAATACCTTTGACTCAGTAGTCCTTCACTTTCTGATTTATAGTGTAAGGCAATAATCTAAAAGAAGGCAATGCTACCTTCTTTCCCAGAGATGTTTGTTGCAAAATTATCTGTAATAGAGAAAAGGGGGGAATAGCTTAAGGGTTCAGAAATAAAGGAATAATTAGTTCACTTGTAGAGTAGTAAATATAATGCATTTATTAAAAATGAAGACTATAAGCCCTAACTGGTTTGGCTCAGTGGATAGAGCGTCGGCCTGTGGACTCAAGGGTCCCAGGTTCGATTCTGGTCAAGGACATGTACCTTGGTTGCGGGCATATACCCAGTAGGGAGTGTGCAGGAGGCAGCTGATCGATATTTCTCTCTCATTGATGTTTCTAACTCTCTATCCCTCTCCCTTCTTCTCTGTAAAAATCAATAATATATATATATTTTTTAAAGTGAAGACTATAAGATTTATGTAGTAACATGGAAAATGTTTGCAGTATAATATAGGGAGAAAAGCAGGATACAGACGGTTTATTCACAGTGAGTGGTATCATGTAAAAATATATCCTATAAGGAAAAGACTGTAAAGAAAAACAGAAATGATAGTAGTTGTGACAATCTTATAGAATTACATGTGATTTGTTTTTACTTTTTTTTTTTTTATCACATTGTTATATTGATTTGGCAGAAAGGTGATAAAGTATCCCGAGAAAGAAAGATACAAATTCATAGATGCAATACTGTGAGGGAACAGATGAGCTCAAGTACACAGTATCTTTGAACGTTGAACCATCCTTATAGGAGTGATCTTGATCTACTAAACTGCATGGCTTTCATACCCTCTCTAAAAAAGATCCTAGCCCTAACCAGTTTGGCTCAGTGGAGCAGGGGTGGGCAAACTTTTTGACTCGAGGGCCACAGTGGGTTCTTAAACTGGACCGGAGGGCCGGAACAAAAGCATGGATGGAGTGTTTGTGTGAACTAATATAAATTCAAAGTGAACATCATTACATAAAAGGGTATGGTCTTTTTTTTTTTTTTAGTTTTATTCATTTCAAACGGGCCGGATCCAGCCCGCGGGCCGTAGTTTGCCCACGGCTGGGATAGAGCGTCAGTCTGCAGACTCAAGGGTCTCAGGTTCGATTCCGGTCAAGGGCATGTACCTTGGTTGCGGGCACATACCCAGTGGGGAGTGTGCAGGAGGCAGCTGATCAAAGTTTCTGTCTCATCGATGTTTCTAACTCTCTATCCTTCTCTCTGTAAAAAAAAATCAATAAAATATATTTTTAAAAAAAAGATCCTACCCATGAGATATCACTGACTCACCATAGCCTTGACTCCTGACTCAGCATTGGGGAGATGCACAGTTTCTTAAGGGCTTTATTACATATTGGGATCAACAGCCCCATTCTGAAGAAGTGAAGATTTTGTGTTACCTATGAATAAATTAAGAGATGAGGTCCATTCTTTCGAAATAACGAATCTGTATCCCTACATTTGAATACCCTAAGTAGCTCTACTTATTTTGCAACAAAATTACGTTGAATTCAACTTCATGTAAAAATAAATACTTATTCTGTAACTCTCCTGAGTTGTTGATGTGATAAAATTTCCCCAGAGAGTTACAATTCCGAAAGTGTTGGGGATCAGAGCAAGATGGCATTTGTTTCATTTATGTAGAGATTTATAGCTATAGGCATTCATTTCGTTAGTCAACCAAGTGTGTACTGAGCTCCTACTGCATTCCAAGCACTTTAGAGTAATATCCCTCTCATGAAAGTAGGTTCTAGATGGAGGCAGACAATCAACAATTAGATACATGAACAGGAAAACTTTCAGCAGCACTAAGTGCTTTAAAGACAATAAAATAAGATGATGTGATAGGGATTGTGGATGCTAGTTTTTAGATTGTGTACTCAAGGAAGGCCTGTCTGAGGCGGTGACATTTGAACTGCAACCTGAATTATCCTCAGAGGTACCTTGCAACTTACATATCCTGAGACTACAATCTTCAAGGTACGTATTTTAAAAGAAGCAAATTTTCTACATATTTGCCTTTCCCTTGTCTGACAAGGGAAACCTCAGAGGGCAAGTTCTCTAAGTGTAATAGTAATAGTGTGGAAACTAATGGTACACAGTTACTTCAGTGATTACAGACAAGCACATATATGATACTTAGTGTTTACATTGTTGAACCTGTAGAACAAAAATAGGCTAAACAGGCCGAAACCGGTTTGGCTCAGTGGATAGAGCGTCGGCCTGCGGACTCAAGGGTCCCAGGTTCGATTCCGGTCAAGGGCATGTACCTTGGTTGCGGGCACATCCCCAGTGGGGACTGTGCAGGAGGCAGCTGATCGATGTTTCTCTCTCATCGATGTTTCTAACTCTCTATCTCTCTCTCCCTTCCTCTCTGTAAAAAATCAATAAAATATATTAAAAAAAAATAGGCTAAACAGGATTATCAAGACAAAAGAAATCAGTGCAAAGAGCACAGAGTGCATGGGATTATCACTATGACAAACTCACAAACCAATGTTACCCTAAAAGGAGAACATAACATAATGCACTCCCCAAACCTCACTTACAAAGGTGGCTTTCTTCTCTCTTGCTCAGCTACTCCAGGAAATCAGATCAGTCCTTCTAAATGCCAGGAAATGCCTCCTAAACAGAAGGAAGTGTTTAAGTGTGAATCTTTATAAACAGTTTCATTCCTGTGACCTGAATAGGTATGGGATACTATCCAGATAGAAGTACTCACCGTTCTAGGATTACTATTCCTAGTTCCTCAACTGGTTAACGGAATAGAATATATGTAAAGAACCAATACAGCATAGTGCCTGGCATTTAATAGGTATTTATAAAATATCAGTTTCCTTCTCCATCTGTTTTAACAAATTACTTTGTTTTCTCCCAGGATTTGGATGTAGCTTTGCCCATTATCGAGAATTATAAGGATCGATTATTGGCAATTGGAGAGGTAAACACCCATTAACTGATCAAATGACTTCTGATTTAGACTTTCATGTGATATATGAAAAGAATCTTTAATTCAATATTGGTGATTATAACTAACTTGGATAATTATGTTCACCCCGTCCAGCTGAATAATAACTCATCAAAACGTCCTCAATAAGCAAAAGAGCTTGGGGATGAAACAATAGAAAGCCTCATCATAGGCTTATGTTAATACTTTATTATCATTTCTATATACTATGCTCTTTTTTTGCTTAAATATGGGTCATCTCTCTAGTTAAAGTAGTATATACAAAGCATACTTTAAAGAGGCTAGAGAACATTTTTATTAAATAATTTACAGTTGTAAAACATTTTTATCACTTGGTAATAAATTCCACTTCTAATTAAAGATAAAGATAAGAGATAAGAATAACAGTTAAATTCAGAATATAGATTATAACAAAATATATCAAGGAAAGACGTCATTTATAATCTTTCCTGTTCGCTGTGATGACCACATGTAGCTGCTGAGCACTTGAAATGTGACTGGGCCAGATTGAGATGTGCTTTAAGTATAAAACACCCAGAGATTTCAAAGTCTTAGCACCCCAAAGAAAGAATGTAAAATAACTCAATAGCTTTTATATTGACCATGTGTTGAAATAATGCATTACTATATAATAATAATGATAATGTTTGGGGGTATACTGGATTAAGCAAAGTATATTAAAATGAATTTTAGCCATTTCTTGTTAGTGTTTTTAATGTGGCTAACTAGAAAATGTGAAGTTATATACGTGGCTTGCACATATGGCTCCCATTATCTTTCTCTTGGACAGTACTGCTCCATAGTATGACTTTTTGGGTTCATTAAACCATGAAAAATGTAATTCTGTTTGACTTTTCTGTTATAGGTGGGACTGGATTTCTCCCCCAGATTTGCTGGCACTGATGCACAAAAGGAAGAGCAAAGACAAGTCCTAATCAGACAGGTCCAGTTAGCCAAAAGACTAAATTTGCCTTTGTAGGTTAATTAACCATCTTCCTATATTAATAGCTATAGAGCGAATTAAAATGATTCTTTTGAAATGGAGCTCTATATTTCTTTTTCTCTTAATTACTTTTATAGAACAAAATAATGTCACATTAATTACTTAAAAGGAATTTTTTTGTTGTTAAACAGAAATGTTCACTCACGTTCAGCTGGAAGACCCACCATCAGCCTCTTAAATGAGCAAGGTATTTAGATTACTGAGACAAATGTGCCTAATGTTTACGTTTGGTATTCCAGTCCATCTTCTCATAGAACAGGCCATGTTTTAATATGATTTCTTAAACGAAAGGAAATAGGGGGAGGGGGAAAAGGGAAGGGAGAAATGGGAAGTCAACTAAAGTGGTTTTACAAGTCAGTCTACTTTTTACAAGGTTTTCAATGTGATTGTGATATTTATAATCATTTGCCAGGGTAAAACAAATGAAAAATTGAATTAAGTAATTTATAGTCCTAAAATAAAAAATGTATCTTATAGCATTACTTTTCAAACTTTTTGAAGTGATACTAATATACACACATATATACTTTTTTTGGTAATAAAAGTATGTGTATACACTGGTCAGTCTTGACCCACTAGATTGATTTCATAACTCACTTGTGGTTATAACCCACTAATGGTCATACCTGCCATTTAAAAAACAGTATCAAATAGTGAAGTAAATGTACTTGCCTACATCTAGAAAGCATGGTATTTCCCAGTGATGAGTGCTGAACCCTTTGGGACCACTAAGAGCATGATTTGTACGCAGGCTGAGCAGCCATTCTTTAAGAACCAGAGGCGATTTTGTGAAGCTAATGCTGATTAGTCAATTTGTGACTCATTTAGCTCCCATTTCCTCTTCCACTAGCATTCTCACTGAGGACTATTTGACTGCTTAAAAACCTCCTATTAGGAACAATAATCTGACAGTTCACAAACTTCTGGAAAATGTTTGAAGGTATAGGAAGATTAAATAATTGTTTAAAATTTTATATTTCCATTTTATTTAATAATTTTATTCTGAAAGTTAAGAATGTATTATAATTTTATTCTACTGTTTGAACACTATGTATTTATCCCTCCTTTAGAAGTCATAAAACCTCATATTTATATCACAGTGACCAAATTTCTGATCTTTGCTGTTCAATTTGATTAATGGGAAAACCTCTCATTGAGGACATAAATTGGAATTCTGATCTATCTTTTATTTTTGAGAGGTGCTGACAAAGTGCTGCTCCATGCATTTGACGGTCGGCCATCTGTAGCCATGGAAGGAGTAAAAGCTGGGTACTTCTTCTCGATCCCTCCTTCTATCATAAGGAGTGGACAGGTAAATTCTTTCATTAAGCTTCCACCTATACTTTGTGAAATACACTTTAAAATAAGAGCTTCTATATTTTATATGTAATATAAAATATATATTTTATATATGCTATATATTTTATATGTAATAGATACTTATATATAACACTTGTGATATTATTCTAGTTATATTACAAAATCAATCCTAAGTCCCTACCTTATGTCAATATCATATTATCATGATTACATTAGATTTATAATAAGTTTTGAAATCAGATAATATGAGAATTCCAATTATTTTTTTATTTTCAAGATCATTTTGGCTATTCTAAGTCCCTTGCCTTTCCATCTACATTAGAATCAGCTTGATTTCTTAAAAAAAAAAAAAAAAGCTGGCTGGGATTTTTATTGGAATTACATTGAATCCATAGCTTAATTTGGGAATAATTGATATGAACACACCATACCTCTTTATTTCGATCTTTGATTTCTCTCATCAATGTTTTATAATTTTCAACATACAAATCCTGCACATATTTTGTTATATTTATCCCTAAGTATTTCATATTTTTCATTCTATTTTAAATGGTACTGGTTTTAAAGTTTTAGTTATCAATTATTCATTGCTAGTATATAGAAATACAGTTGATTTTTCTATATTAAACTTTTATCAAGTGACCTTGCTGATTATTCATTAGCGCTAGCAGTGTTTTGTAGATTTTTCAGGATTTTTATGTAGATAATCATGTCATCTTTGAATAAAGATATTTACTTTTCCCCTTCCAATATTTGTGCCCTTTATTTCTTTTTCTTACCTTATTTCACTAGATACAGCTAGTAGAATGTTGAATAGAAATAGTAAAAGCAGAAACCCGTGCCTTTTTCCTGATCATGGAAAAACATTCATTCCTTTACCATTAAGTATACTATGAGCTGCAGGTTTCTTATAGGGTTTAAGGAAGTTCCTTCTGTTTCTGGTCTGCTGAGTGTTTTTATCAAAAATGGATGTTGGATTCTGTCAAATACTTTTTTGACAATATATTATCCTTTTTATAGTTTCTTAGGTAGAACCTTAGATTATTTGAAACCTTCCTTGTTTTCTAATAAAGATATTTAATGCAATAGTTGCATTAGCACTAACCACATATAGTTACAATCCACAGATATTAATTAGATTGTTATAATGAGGCTCTGTTTCTTCTAGTATAAGTATTGATATGATCATAGGCTAATTTGTGATCTTTGCTGTATTTTCACTTTCTTTCCGTTCATAATGCTTTCTAATTTACCTTAGGACTTCCTCTTTGACCATAGTGACTATTTAAAAGTGTATTGTTAATTTCCAAATACTTAGGAATTTTCCTGATATCTTTCCATTTCTGATACCTACTTTAATTTGACTGTGTTCAGGAGACATTCATTGTATGATTTCACCTCTTTTAAATTGGTTGAGGTTTGTTTAATGGCCCAGAATATGATCTATCTTGGTGAAGGGAACATACACACTTCAAAAGAATGTGCATTCTGCTATTATAAGATGGAGTGTTCTACACATGTCACTTTATAGTCCAAGATTATTTTTATTTTTCCTACTTTTAGCTTTTGTGGAAAAACTTCTTATTTAGTAGTAACCTTTAGCTGTGGCATGTTTCTTTTTCAAAACTAAAATACATTTAAAGATAATAATTTGTACATTATAGAAAATTGAATCACTTCAGTAAAGAACAAATTTTAAATTAATCCAGATTCTACAACTCAGGAACAATCATTGTTAACATTAATTCAGATAAAATAAGAAGATAATCTTATTCTTTTTGTTTTGAGTTAGCTTCATGGGTGTCTAATTGTATCAATAAATATGGACCTATCTCATCTTTAAAATGATAGTATGATATTTCATAATGTGGATGTGGATGTACTGTAATTTATTTAAGCATTACTTTAAGTAAAGGTTAGACTGTTTCTAATTTTTCACTGTTATAAACAGTGCCTGAGTGAACACCTTTGTACATCTTACATATGCACACTTGTGCAGTTTTCCCTCTAAATGGAATCACTGAGGAAAGGGTGTACATTTTAAAATTTGGTTAAACTGTTACATTTTCTTTAAAAAGTTTATGCTAGTTTAACTTTTATCTACCAGCAGTGCATGAGCATACCTATTTCTGTGCCTCTGAAATTTTAATCTTCAAACAATTCATTCTAATAATATTCCACTCTGCATCATGAGCCTCTCCCTGCCATTTTTTACTTTAACAGTGCAGCGGCAGCAAAAGAATTACGTTCTTGGTATAAAAGTCATTGGGTTCATTGCAATCCTTATAATCCAGACAGAAAATTAAAAATAAGAAAGTAAAACCATCTACCACCTAATCTAAAACGTGCGTATGAACTTTGGATTTATATCAGAAAGCCTGAGTGGCTTAAAGTGAACAGTAGAAAGAAGCCCTGAGTGTGGTGGAGAAGCAACAGAAGTCTCTTCCTGAGATCTCTCAGTGGGATGGTGATATCCGGTGTCTGACTTCCTTGCTGGGTGTGCTTTTGGTTACTACTCCCTGGGTCCCTGGAGTCTCTGGATAATTTTTGGCAATGAATGTTGCTATTTAAACCTGTTAGTAATAGAATGAGAACGTAGTGAGCATGTATCAATTGAATATTGAAGCATGAATTTTAAGCTCTTGCAGAGTAGAATGCATTGGCATGTGGGTTTAATGTTCTTTTTTTGAAAATTCTTTATTACTCCTTTTTTAAACTTACTAGCTTTTTCTTTTCTCTAAGAAGCAGAAACTTGTGAAACAGTTGCCTTTAACCTCCATTTGCTTGGAAACAGATTCACCTGCACTAGGACCAGAAAAACAGGTAAGTCATTTTCTGTTTCCACGTGATTGAGATCAAGCATGTAAAACTCGCAGCCTCGGCATGCCTGGGGCCAACGAGCCGCAAATTTGATATGCTTGATTTAGATTGTGTCTTTCATTTGAGCTATTTTTGATTTGTCTGTGTTTCTCATCACAGTGTAAGTACAATGGAATCCTATCTTAACGCTAGGTTGAGAGGTTATATCAACTGAATTTCAGGTCTTTTCTAAATATAATTGTTATGCCCCACAGAATATTATTTGATATGGATCATGTCCTTGTCTATGTAGTAATGAAAGCCAGACCAGTATAGCAAAAAGCTCAATGTCAAGAGTCAGAAAGACCTGGATTCAAATCCTGTCTCTGCTACGCACTAGCTGTTTGACTTTGAGCAAGTTATTAATGTCTCTGAAATGTTCTTCACTTATAAAATGTAAGCAAACTAGCAAATACTTTGAAGTATTATAGTGAGAATTAAATGGAGTAATGTATCTAGCAGTATCTGCTATATAGTAAGATGCTCAATAAATGTTTATTTTTCTCCTTTTAATTAGATTGTTATAATGACGCTCTATTTCTTCTAGTACAAGTATAATAAGTGTATAATATGCCAGTGTGTGAATCTACCATAGTATATTTAACTTGATATTGTGATTTGGGTTGTTTTCAACACAATTATATCTGATGAATGTTATCAGGTTATTTTTCTTAAACTTAATAGACATCTTATTCCTCTCAATATTATCATGCTAAGTAGATAACTTAATAACAATAATACATTTCACCAAATCTAAATGTACAATCTAAATGATTGTAGATGCACCACTGTTTTGTGACCATTAGGATGGAAAAAACAAAACAAAAAACACTGCCAGTTATACAATGACATGTCATTGAATCCAAGTAAAATATGTATCAATTTCAGAGATGTTAAAATAGGAGGGAAATACATCTTAGACTCAGTGAAGTACCAGTACGTATCTGTCTAGCTGTCCAAATATGTACTGGTACTTCTTGAATGTGTATGGTGACATTTCTTGAATCAAACTGTAATGTCTGTAGCCTGTGAGGTGAAGGGGCCAAGCAGCCGAGCAGTGACCTTTACAGTCACTCAGTTAAGCAATAAGCCAAAGGACGGCTAACCCATCCGTCATGCAGGTTGCCAAGTGTCCACTGTTTGCAGACTGCCAGATGCTGGGACCTCAGTTTTTAATACCCCACGGCTCTTTTCAAGAGCAACATAGACTTACAGTCAGTGTGTAGCTATAGCTTCTAAGCTGAAGTTCAAGACTTTCTCCCCTTATTGCCTCCCACCTTACCCCACCCCCATTAAAAAAAGCACTCACCGGCTGTGTTTACCAACTCATTTTCTTCTATTTTATCTACAGTCTCCAAGGATTGCTTCTTTTGACAATCACGTTTGATTTAGTGTCTGCTTTGTTCTCCTTCAGGTACGGAATGAACCCCAAAACATTACCATCTCAGCGGAATATATTGCCCAGGTGAAAGGAATCTCAGTGGAAGAAGTGGTGGAAGTGACAACACAGAATGCATTGAAATTGTTCCCCAAGCTCCAGCAGCTGCTCCAGAAATAACTTCAAAGCCAAATGAACTGAAGGGTGCAGCATTTGAGAAAAAGAAATGTTCTGGCCCTAGCTGGTTTGGCTCAGTGGCTAGAGCAGCCGTGGGCAAACTACGGCCCGCAGGCCGGATCCGGCCCGTTCGGCTGTTCTATCCGGCCCACGGAGCCGAAAGAGCGGAGGGTTCTCTTGCTCTCCCCTCCGCTCCTTCACCAGCAGCAGTGTTAACATGTATTAGTTCACACAAACACTCCATCTGTGCTTTTGTTCGGGCCCTCTGGGCCAGTTTAAGAACCCATTGTGGCCCTCTAGTCAAAAAGTTTGCCCACCCCTGGGCTAGAGCATCAGCCTGCAGACTGAAGGATCCTGGGTTCAATTCCGATCAAGGGCTTATGCATGGGTTGCAGGCTTGATTCCCAGTAGGGGGCATGCAGGAGGCAGCCAATCAATGGTTCTTTCTCATCATTGATGTTTCTATCACTCTCTCCCTCTCCCTTCCTCTCTGAAATCAATAAAATATATATATATATTAACAGAAATGTTCTGATTAATAGTCTGAACTGAAGAAACCATTATATAGGGATAAAAAGATTATAATTTTAGAGAAATATTTGTCATTTGTTGTTGTTAATCCTCACCCGAGGATATTTTTCCATTGATTTTTAGAGAGAGTGGAAGGGAAAGGGAGAGACAGAAGCATCGATGTGAGAGAGACACATTGATTGGTTGCCTCCTGCATGCTTTCCAACCAGGGCTAGGGATCAAGCCTGCAACCGTGCATGCGTGCCCTTGACCAGAATCAAACCTGGACCCTTCAGTCCACGAGCCGACCCTATATCCACTGAGCCAAACCAGTCAGAGTGAGAAATATTTGTCTCAGAAATAAAACTGAGCTTGGATCCTGAAACCTTGGGTTCTAATTCTACCTTGAACTGCTTTTCAATTAATGGACTCCTAGCAGGAGGTTGGGAGACACTACTGCTTCTTACCTTGCCCCGTTAAATAGAACCACCACATGAACTGAAACCATTTTTTCCAGCAAGGGTGCCTCCCACAGGTAATCATTTTCTAGCCTTTCTTGCAACCAGGGCACTGATAATATGACCCACCCTAGATTTTGAATGAAGTGAGTCACACGAGGAAGCCAGGCCTAAGGGTGGCAGTATGGCAGCTTGGTGAGGTTGGCATTGTTAGCTGCAGGGTCTGTGCCCACATGCTGTGTTAGTAGAGTCTTTATGCTTCTAGTTCAGTGATATGAATTGGTTTTTCCACCCTCCTGGAGATTTTACAAACTATCCATTATCCTTCAGTAAATTCATTTTCTTCTTAAATTAGCCAAATTTAGTTTCTGTTGCTTGTATCTTTAAGAACCCTGCTTGATGAGGAAATTCATACCCTGAAGTAGTTATCACAAAGAGACCATTAGGGGAAGGAAGGAAGAGAAGGAAATCTGAGACTCATTATAGTGCCTGGATCACTTTCCAAGTAGCAAATACCAGTTAATTGTAAGGGATAAGATACTGCCCGTCCATAGCGGATGGTGACCAATCTTGTGAAAGCATGTTAAAAAGATACTCTATGGCAAAAGGATATGTGCTGATTTGGGGGCAGCCCAAAGGGTACTGCATTGAACATTTTTATTTTTCTTCACTTTTTCTGTATTTGTGGAACCTCTTACCTTATGAGGCAGAGCTCACCTTCCACTGTACCTGGCTCTTCCCTTTGGACCCATCTTCCATGCCAGCAAAGAAACGCAGCTTCCCCTGCCCTGGCCTGCAAGACCCTGTCCAGGGAAGAGGCACTGGGTGCTGGTAGCTTCAGCAGCAATGGCAGGTCACGCCTTCGCCTTTTCTGCGTACCAGGGATGCCACAGAGGGCCTTCCTGCACCCGCATTAGTGGCCTTGACTTGGGAACTCACTGCAGACAGCTCTGCAGGGAGGGGAGCGAAAATGGAGGGAAATGACTGTCTGCCCATCTCCCTGTGTCTACTGAGGGAACAGGTGCATCAACAAATCCGAGACTCCTGGGAGGGGCAGAGAGGTGTCTGGACTTGCTATGATTTCAGGTAGGGTCAGAGTCCAAAATTGATAGGTTTGTGACTTTTGATTTTCTGGTTTTAGCTTGAAGCTTTTATAAGATGTATAGAGGAGGACAAAGTAGAAACACCTAAGGGGGAGGGGGAGGGAGAGCTTCCAGGAGAAGGTGGCATTTAAATGAAAGTTAGCTAGGTGAAGGGCGGGTAAGAGAATAAAGCAGAGAACCCCAAGTAGTTCCATGAAACTACAGGTGCATGAGGGAGGAGGCAGAAGAGGACTAGAGAGAATTAAGATTTGAAGGTTGCTAAGTGTATTATATATAACCTGACACTCATGTACTATGTGTTTATTCCCTGATTCATCTTAGAGCGAGCCAAAGAAAGGATGCTGTGTTTGATAGTCTTTATGTGGGCAGCTAAGTGTTCAGAGATAATTCTCCATAGGTCTCCCATTTCTGAGTATCTCTGGGGCAGAGACACTGACAGCTTTTGTTCCAGATTATCTTTATTTGAGAGAGAGAGAAACATCAGTTTGTTATTCCACTTATTTCTGTATTCATTGGTTGATTCTTGTATGTGTTCTAACCAGAGATTAAACCCGAAACCTTGGCATATCAGGATGATGCTCTAACCCACTGAACTACCAGCCAGGGTCCAGATGATCTTTTCAAGGATGTTTATATAGCGAAGGGCCTTGGAAGACAGATAATGTCTCCCACTGAAGCAGAGGCAAGTTTCTTCTTTCTACAATATAATAAAGAGCATCTCTTCCTCCAATCAAAGGTTGGGTTTCTTATTTTTTTTTTTAATTCTCACCTAAGTATATTTTTTCCATTGATTTTTTTTTTTTTTTTTTTTTTTTTTTTTAGAGAGAGAGAATGGGAGGAAGGGGGAGAGAGAAAGAGACAGGGAGACAGAGAGATGTGAGAGAGACACATCGATTGGTTGCCTCTGGCATGTACCCCAACGGGGGCTGGGGATCGAACCTGCAACCCAGGTATGTGCCCTTGACTGGGACTCAGACCCCAGACCCTTCAGCGAACAGGCCGATGCTCTTATCACTGAGAAACTCCAGCCAGGACAAAGGTTGGGTTTCTTAAGCTCAGAGATTTTCAGCTGTGAGGCAAAGCCTCTGTGTGCATGGCATCTGTCTGGATGACTTCACATTATTTGGGGCCGGCGGGGGTAAGGGGGGGCAGAGAGTACCAATCAGAACATGATGCTTGTGCTGCTTGCTGTTGTGGAAGAAAGGGCCACATGCTAACCTGACAAGCTCAGGAGAGGCCTGCATGACAGTTTTGCAAACTCAGAGACCTAAAGTAACCACAAAGGATGGTCTGAAATTAAACTTTAACTAAAAGCAGTTATGTCCTAGGCCCATATCTTCACTGACATAGTCAACCTTTACCTTAACTGAGCCTATCTATCTTTTTGCATCTATGATAACATATCTTTGAAATGTCTTCCCTTTTTCCTGACCCCTTGGGGCACACAACCTAATGTGCCTGGGTACCAGGACAGATGCCACAAATTCCTTCATTGTTATTGTTATCATGTTCATTGTTGACTGTTAACTATCCTGCACCCACATAAGTAATGTGTCCATCATTTTATTTTCTATCCAATCCCAGAGGTCCATCACCCTCCCGCTTTGCTTTCTCCCGCCTCTCTAATCTACCACCAATGGATTTCATGTAACCCACCTATGTCCCTTCCTTTGATTGCAATGTATAAAAATAGATGAAAAAAACCTCTATTCTCTAGAGCAGTGGTTCTCAATCTTCCTAATGCCGCGGCCCTTTAATACAGTTCCTCATGTTGTGGTGACCCCCAACCATAAAATTATTTTCATTGCTACTTCATAACTGTAATTTTGCTACTGTTATGAATCGTAATGTAAATATCTGATATGCAGGATGTATTTAGGCGACCCCTGTGAAAGGGTCGTTTGACCCCCAAAGGGGTCGTGACCCACAGGTTGAGAACCGCTGCCTAGAACATTATCCCAATTCCCAGCAATTGTTGACAGTTTGGCTCAGATAAACTCACAAAAATTCTTTACAGGTTTTTATGTTAACACTGCTCTGAGCAATAAAGTCCTTTGCCTCTGAACCAAGATTCTTATGTCTTCTGTCACCAATGCCCCTGAAACTGTGGCAGGCTAATCCTTCATAGCTCTTGACACTGGAAGTTTTGTTGTTGTTTTTTGAGAAGCAAAATATTAGCTTTGGGCCTGGCTTTTTAATATATACCCTCAGGGTCAATGAATCTTATCCCCACTGTGCCCTGGTGCAGTCCTAGCTGAGATAGCGTTTTAGGCCAGTTGACTGATACATATCCTTTCCAATATTAATATGCTTTGGCTTGTGACTCTGAGCTTTCTATGAAGGCAAATGGCAACCGAATAAAAGGTGAATATTTCACTGATATAAATACAAATGCAAAGCTGCACCTGGGTTCCAAGCCAAGTAGTATCCAGCTTGCCATATGGAATAACAGGCTATTGGCTCAAACTGCAAAAAGGAACACAAGCCACGTCAAAACCTGAAAATTAGTCTGCTACCCAAAAAGGAATGACACACAGATAATTCTAGCAATGCTCACTTTGGGGATGGAGAATAAAATAAAACAAAAAACTCCACCTTGTTAATCTCTCAAGTATGTACTTAGTCAAATTATCAAAATCCTTGCTCTGAGTTCATGCAATTCAGTGTTTAGAAGCAAATTGTTAACTTTGAGGATTAGTGGGATTGGTCAACATACTCCACCAATTTATAGGAACAAACCATTTAAACATTTTAAATTAATAAAGAGAAGATCACCGTAAAGGATCTTTTAGGTGATAAATATTTCCAAGCATCTTTTTAAAAAAACTTTTTAAAAAAAGTCTTATTGATTTTAGAGAGAAAGGAAGGAAGAAGGAGAGAGAGAGATGTGGGAAACTGATACAGGGTTGAGTCTCGGACTGACCTGCTGGCAAAGTCACAAGTCCTAGCTTAGAGGGCACAGTCCTCTTAGCATAATTAGGCTTGACCTTATAACACTCCCTAGATCTTATCTGGGAAGCTAATGGGTTGAGGAAGTGCAGGAAGTGTAACCATGGTCAAAACAAGTGCAACTCACAAGAACTGTGTAACTATGGTAACCACTACCTTGTTTACCTCTCACTATAAAAAGCTTGGTGAGGCCTGAGCACAGTGGAAGTCCTTCTCCTTGAGTTGGACTTGCCCGCCTGGTCCCCCAATATTCCCAAATTATCTCATGTCTTTTCTTTTTCATTTGTGTGCGGCTCCTCTTCCAGACCCGAACCCTGAACCACGCAGGACGTGGAGGGAAACACTTACGACAGAGAAAAACATGGATGTGAGAGAGGAACATTGATCAGTTGCCTCCCACAGGCATCGCAACCTGGGTATGTGCCCTGACCAGGAACCAAACCAGCATCCTTTCAGCATACAGGGAGACACTCAACCAACTGAGCCACACCGGCTGGGGTGAAAGTATCTTTAATAACAAAAATCATCCCTTCAAAAATATGACTAATAGAATGAAATTAATGAAGATGTAATACTTGTTATATGACTTAACAAAATATTTCCTTGGTGAACTAGCAAATACTTTTGGCTTCTTTTATAATTAATATTTGTAAATAGTTCAGATAGATACTGAAGAAGGATAAAGAGATGGTATTTTTGTGTGTCTCTGGGGATGCACTTTATCCAAATATTGCATTATCTGAAAAATAAAAAAAAAAAGTATGTTATATAACATAATTCATTTTATAGTTTCTTAAATAACCCTGAGGGCAGAGAGGATGAGTACTGTTTCAAAGATACAGGAAGTAAGGTATAGAAAGCGTAAGACTAGTCAATGGCAGATACAGGACATGAACCCAAGTGCAATGGACTGAATGTCTGTCTCCTCTCCCCCAAAAAATGTCTATGTTGAGACCTTGATCCCAGTGTGATGGCATTAGAAGGTGGGGCCTTTGGGAGGTGATTATGTCATGAGAGTAGAGCCCTCACAAATGGGACTAGTGCTCTTATAAGAAGAGGCCAGAGCACTAGCTAGCTCTTTCTGCCATGGGAGAGGACACAGTCCGAAAGCAGCCCTCTATAAACCAGGTAGAGAGCTAGCACCAAGCACCTGCCCTGACGCTCTGATCTCAGACTCCCATCCTCCAGACCCGTGAGGAAGAAACTTGTCATTTAAGCCAGCAGTGTACGCGTTTTTTATAGCAGCCCAAACTAAGATACCAAGTTTTCTGTTTTTAAGGCTGTTGTCTTTCAGTAAGATTGCCCCTCTTTTGGTGTTCACACCTCTAAGTGGACAATTGAAGAGAGAGTGTGAAAAGGGGTGGTAGGATGTTGGAAAGTTTTACTTAAATAGGGTGATTTCTGATTAATTGGCTTTTTAAAAATTATTTTTCTATTGATTTCAGAGAGGAAGAGAATGGGAGAGAGAGAAACATCAATGATGAGAATCATCGATTGGCTGCCTCCTGCACGCCCCCTACTGGGGATCAAGCCCTCCAACTGGGCATGTGTCCTGACAGGGAATCAAACCGCAACCTCCTGGTTCAAAGGTCACCACTCAAGCACTGAGCCTCAGCCTGATGAATTGGCTTTTGAAGGAAGATCTGAATAAATTGAGGGACGGAAAGAGAGAGAGAGAGAGAGCGCCCAAGGTAGAGGGAACAGCATGTGCCAAGTCCCTGAGGTGGGAACCAGAGTGGTACATCCCAGAAACAGGAGGAAGACCATGGTGACTAAGTGGGATGAGGCCAGGGAGAGGAAAAGAGAAAAGGCTGAAAAGAGAAGCACACAGGATAAGGAGGGGATTTTATCCAGTGTGGTGTGACACCATGGGTGAGTCCTGAGCAACAAGTGAAGTATCTAATATATAGGTTATTTTTTTTAATCACTCAGGCTGTCATGTAAAGAAATACATGTGGGAGGTGGCAAGAGCAGAGGCTGGGGGACAGATGTGAGGTCCCTGCTGTACTTTGGGAGAGAGATGATCATGGGTTGGCTCTGGGTGGTAGCAGTAGTCAGATTCAGGACTGATTTTGAAGGAAGAGCTGACAGAACTTCCTGACAGATTGGACGTGGAATGTGAGACAAAGAGGGGAGTCAAAGGTATGACTCGTTCTATGGCCATTTTCTGAGATGAGCAGGGGTCAAGGGTGAGTAGGTTGTGGGGTGGAGGATAGGAATTCTGTTTGGGCGATGGTAAATTTCACATAACATCAGGGAGAGGTGGCAATCTGATACATGCTATCTGATAGACCTGTCCAGAACTCAGGAGAAAGGTCAAGGCAGAAGCAGAAATTTGGGAGTCCTCAGACTAGAGATGAGATTTTGAGTCCTGGAACAGAGCGGGACTGTCTGGGCTGAGATCACCTAGAAACCAAGGGTAGATGATGAAAGAGGGCCCAGTATTGAGTGCAGGTGTTCTTCGGCATTCAGAGGACAGAAGAGGGCCAACCTAATAAAGGGGATGCTATTTTATCATTAATGATGTTTACTATTTGATTCATTGCGCATTTGTTGAGGGCCTACTAGAGTACTGTAATGTTCATCAAATTTGGGAGGTAACGTTTACAAACGAGGGTTTTCTCGTTGCATCTGCTGGCCTCTGGGGCAAGGGGTGTGCTCTCAGTCTAGTGTGGCAGGCCCAAACTCGTGGTGTGGATTGGGCTAAGTTCTCTCTTGGGGTGAGTTCACCTTTGACTGCTTTTAAGCCAATGCCCCCAATATAGATTTTCTTTCCAGCAACAAAGCCACCATTTTTACCTCCATCTGTCTCTCAGTCGATGTAAAGCCAGTTTAGGAACAGAAGGGTATTATTGTTGACTTTTTCAAACTTCAACAGTATTCAGAATAAAGCAGACACTCCAACAAATGTCAGCACCCTTCTCTAATACCCAGGGACTCTCCACGTGTGGATATAAAAAGAAAATAAGCCCTCAGTATTCCCAGACCACCCTTTGAGAACTACTAGTTTAGGCTAATTAAAGAAAGACCATGGATTCACATACCGATTCCCATAACATTTACATTAGGTCTGTACTTATCCAGCATCTTGTCATCATAAAGTTTCTGTTTAATTCTGTTCACTTAAAAGGAACAAAGAGCTTTTCTGCAGTATTTAAAGGTTTATTTTAATGTTCCAGAATTGTGGGCTTCTAGCCTCTATATCATGCATGTTGGTTATGGAAATTATACTCGTTAGACTCTGTTTTGTAGAAAACCATGTGCATTCATGTAAAGAGGTAAACTATGTCATAGGAGGTGGATTTTAATGTTCACTATTAAACTTGTGAGAATTGCCCTAACCGGTTTGGCTCAGTGGATAGAGCGTTGGCCTGGGGACTGAAGGGTCCTGGGTTCGATTCCAGTCAAGGGCATGTAACTTGGTTGTGGGCACATCCCCAGTGGGGAGTGTGCAGGAGGCAGCTGGTTGATGTTTCTCTCTCATCGATGTTTCTAACTCTCTAACCCTCTCCCTTTCTCTCTGTAAAAAATCAATAAAATATATTTTAAAAAATAAAAAATAAAATAAACTTGTGAGAATTAACCTACTACCTGTGATTTAACTCATCTAGCTCCAAGTAATTCAACCAGAATAAAAGGTAACACTATAATTAGGAACACTAAAGGCATTCCTCCTCCTAAAGGAGTTACATTTTAATGTAAAATAAACACCTGACTGTTACAGATTAACTTTAACACATAATGGAGAACCTCACTTGTCCAGGCCATTCTGTTTCATCCTCTCAACACCACCTACCAGGAGCGTGGGGCAAATGCAAGTCACGACCCCCTCATCAAAGAAGTTAAATCTCCAAATCGCCAATATAGCGATTCTTTTGTTTCTGATCCAACTGAATCATGTGTTGGTTGTATTTAATATAATTATACTCTCCTTTTACTTTACTTTTCTTCTCTTTTTTTTTCAAATAAAGGAGAAAAACATCATCAGTTGTTTGCCTTGAATTAGAAACAAGTATTCACAATCAAGGTAGCTACCAGTTCCTCTTCTTCCTCCTGCAAAATACTACCCCCAGGGCACACCCTCACCCCAACCTCCGTCCACATTTTATTGTTTCTGGGGCCTTTTGTTTAATATTTGTCATCAAAATAATTTCCATTTTATCTCAACTTTGCACATGAAATTTTTGCAGAGGCAACAAAATTTGGCGAGATAGGCGGCCTCCTAAGCTGTTGTGGTCCGTTATAATTACCTATCACAACTTTTCTCAAAATATGGTTCTCAGGCCATCAGCATCAGAATCACCTTGGCCTGCGGAGAATGCAGGCCCCAGGACCCACCTAGAGCCTATATTAAATGAGGCCTCCTGGATGTTGCGCCTGGGATTCTGTAGGCACAAGAAAATGAGAACCTCCATCAACTAGCCTCGTTGACTGATGCTTTCCCTTCAGACAGGTTGTCCTTAAGCTATCCCAGAGCACCACTATGACATTCTCCCTGATTATACAATTATCCCTCCTGTCGATTGGGTGGGAAGCCTACCCATAACATCTTACTTTTTGATGGAAAGTGCCTCTTCTCTATGTGAGCAAGGAGACTCAGTTTGACCCAGGAGCTCCTGCCACTGTCGGGCACAGGTTCTTTGGTTTGGGAATGAATATGGCACTTATAGGCACAACTGAAGTGCCTCCGCTGAACTCTCAGTAAGCTGACTTGATTGCTTCTTTCCACCAAACAGTTGGATTCACGCTTTTCATTGATCTCTTTCAGGAGACGTTGTCTGTCGACTTTGCATTTTATAATTGTTTCATTGGTCCTGTTTATAGTTGTCATTATGCTGACAGACTAATCATAAGGTGGTGCTTCGTGTCCTGCAAACAAATTTTAAAAAAATACCATCAGTTAGTTGCCTGATTGATCCAGAAGCCAGCACTGTTCACAATCAGGTGTGAGCCAGTCTTCTCTCTCCTCCTGCAAAATACCACCACTGCTGCCCTCACCCCACACCTCCCTCCATTTTTATTACTGTTTTCTAAGGTCTTTTTTTGTTTGTTGATGTTTCTTCAGAGGGAAAAAAAGTTTTATTTTTTTAAAAAGGATATAGTAGAATAATACATTTTGGTTTTTAGATACTATGCATTGATTCTTGCTTTTAGGGTATTTTGTTATTTCTTCTGATTATAAAAAAATTTTAAGAAAATACAGAAAAGCACAAGGTAGAAAAGCTAAAATCACTTTTGATCCAGAAACAACCAAATTCACATTTTGGATCTTTCTTTCACAATAAATATCCAAAGGAATTTTATTATAACAAATACAGAAAAAAAACAACAACAGTAAATTGGCTATAGTAGAACATAAATTTTAAAATGTATAAAGGTTGTTAAGTACTTAGGAAGATTTTGCTTGTTAGAACTGTACATTTGTCTTTTCAGGCATTTGAAGTGCTTAAAAATCAGATGTTAAATTTACAAAGGAAGTTTAAAATATTTATAGATCTTGTGTTAACTAAATTTGTAAATGGACTGATTACTTAGAAGTATTCAATCTATTCAACCTGGGTTAATTTCAGAAAAAATAAGGGTAATCGTTCTTTATACAAAGTAACTCAATTTATAAATAGCATATAATCAAAAGTTGGCAGAAAGGTTTTTAATGTTTTAATTTTAGAAAATCAGTATAAATAATCTCACATTAACATTATATATAGATGAACAGAACTTCCATTTAAATAACTATGGCAAACCAACCAGTGTGGCTCAGTGGTTGAGCATTAACCTAAGAATAAGGAGGTTACAGTTCGATTCCCAGGAGATCACAGTTCGATTCCCGGTCAGAGTACATGCCCTGGTTGCTGGCTCCATCCCCAGTAGGGGGCATGTAGGAGGCAGCTGATCAATGTTTCTCTCTCATCTCTCTCTCTCTTCCTCTCCCTTCCTTCCTGAAATAAATAAAAATATATTTTAAAAGTAAAATAAAAATAAATGACGATGGTGGACTAGATCAGCGACCTTCAACAGGCGTGCCACAAGTATTTTTAAAATTTGCAATACCTGACTGTTTCCAGTCTCCCTTGGAAAATCACTGGGCTCAGGCATCATATTCTCTCTTTTTAAGAAATACGTTTTTATTGATTTCAGAGAGAGGAAGGGAGATGGAGAGAGGAGTAGAAATATCAGTAATGAGAAAGAATCATTGATTGGCTGCTGCCTGCATACCCCCTACTGGGGATCAAGCCCGAAACTCAGGCATGTGCCCTGGCAGGGAATAGAATTGTGACCTCCTGGTTCATGGGTCAACGCTCAACCACTGAGCCACACTGGCTGGGCAGATATCAGATCTTTCACAATAACTTTTGGAGTTTGAGCTCAGTATAATTTAGGAGCCCAATAAAAAGCAATTGACCAATTGACCTTTTTGAAGGTATAAATCCAGTGATGTAGGCTCACAATACAAAAGATAATGTACAACCCACCAGAAAATGAGCCCTTGGTATTCAAGTGATTTAAGGAAATAAGCAAAATGTCAATTACAAAAGTGAAAAGAGAAATGAGAAGATAACCTTCCTACATTGGATCTTGCGAGATTAAATTGAAGGAAGAGCCCTGGCCGGTTGTTCAGTGGTTAGAGCATTAGCCCTTGGTCCAAAGGATTCAAAATTCCCAGTCAAGGGAAGGTACCTCAGTTGCAGGTTCCCCAGCCATGGTAGGGGCGAGTGCAGGAGGCAACCAGTCCATGTGTTTTTCTCTCTCTCCCCCTCCTCCCTCCCTTCCACTCTCTCTTTAGAAATCAATGGAAAAAATATCCTTGGGTGAGGATTAAAAAAAAAAAAAAATGAAGACAAAATATTTTACACTCAATTAACACTAAAGAATTAAATTGACCTCAATAAGGCTAATTCTATCCCAATCACCAATTAATTATCTAATGTAGTGGAAACAAGAAAATATGGTTCCTACTCAAGCCATGCTAACACCAAGTTACCTTCACTAGGCCTCAGTCTCCTTATATGTTAAGTGTCAATAATACCCAACTCACATGGTGTCATAAGGATTAAATGAGCGAATGAAGTATCCATCTGATATAAAAACTGCTGTTTGAAATGTTAACCCTGCTGTTTCTGGCTTCTGTAGGTGCTTGCTGGCTTAAGTAATAAGGAAAATAAGACTACTCCCATTTCAGAGAGGCCATTAAACCTTCCCCAGACGAAGTTATCAGTGCTGGCACCAGGCCAAGCCTTTGGTCCAGGTCTCAAAGCGCCAGCACATAGGGCCCTTTAAGAACTTGCAAAGAGAACCGGAAAAAACCCATATTGGGGAGACCAAGAGGGTAAGATAGTATAAATAGAAGAAACTTCCTGTGTGATTTCACCCAGAATTTGAGAGACATTTTCCTCTGGGCCCGCGCGTCATAAATGTAACTCCATCTCTCTAAGTGTTGCTTGGTTCTTCGCCGGTTTTTGTGTAACACTAATACATATCAAGAGCTCATTATTGCCAGCCCTCAATGAATGGGAATTTTAATACATTAGGTGCTGTGGGAAAAAGGACTTGTTCAATTGGATAAAAAAGTAATATTTTTGTTCCTGGGTTAATCTGTTTACTTGTAGTGTCACCTGGACCAGCTAATACATAACGTAATGCAGAGCCAAGTGAAAATGCGGGGCCTGTTGTTCAAAACGCATTGAGAATTCCAAGCATTAAACCAAGTGTGGGGCCCTTCTGAGCACAGGGGCCCTATGCGAGTGTCGAGGTCCCATGCCTATGAATCTAGTTGGCTCTGTATGTGCCCTGGCCGGTGTGGCTCAGTTGGTTGGGTGTCATCCTGTGCTGGTTGGAATCTCAGTCAAGGCACAAGCCTGGGTTGGGTTTCGGGCTTCATCCCCGGTGGGGGGCATGTAAGAAGCAGCCCGTCTATGTTGTACCTTCGAGACAATGTTTCTCTCTCCCTCGCCCTTCCTCTCTCTCTTGAAAAAAAAGGAAATTAATAAACTATTCTTTTAAAAAAAAATTAAGGTTGAAGTAACAGTTATTTAAAAAGAGTGGGGGGGGGGTTATAGTCACTTAATGGAGATAAGTAATGGGCATAACCTATGGCTTTTAAAAGGACTTTGAATACATCCTTATTATTCATGGACTCCATATTTGCAAATTCACCTACTCACTAAAATTTAGTTGTTACCCCGAAATCAATACTTGCGGCACCTTCATAGTTGTTCGCAGGCACGGGCAAAGAAGTAACACATTTGAGTCTCCCTGACTAGCATATCCCCAGCGAAGGTCAGTTCTCATACTGCAAACAAATGTCCTTTTCATGTCTATTTAGCGTTACAGTTTTTGCACTTTGGTGCTTTTTGTTGATTTCACTGTTTAGAATGCCCCTCAAGCGTAGCCATGCTATGTAGTGATCCTAAGTACAAGAGGCTGTGATGGTTCTTATGGAGAAAATGTTTATTAGACAAGCTTTGTGCAGGCACCACTTATAGTATCACTGGCCATGAGTTCAGTTAATGAATCAACTTTTATTACATCACTAGAGGCCCGGTGCATAAAAATTTGTGCACTTGGCAGGGGGCGAGAGGGTGTCCCTCAGCCCGGCCTGTGCCCTCTCGCAGTCTGGGGCCCCTCAGGGGATAACCACCAGCTGGCTTAGGCCCGCTCCCCAGGGGATTGGGCCTAAGCTGGCAATCAGACATCCCTCTGGCAGCCCGGAAGCCCTCGGGGGATGTCCACTTGCCAGCGGGGAGCAGACCTAAGCTGCAGTCAGACATCCTTAGCGCTGCTGAGGAGGCGGGAGAGTACCACCGCTGTACTGGCAGCCATCAGCCTAGCTTGTGGCTGAGCAGAGCTCCCCCATGTGGAAGCGCACTGACCGCCAGAGGGCAGTTCCTGCATTGAGCGTCTGCCCCCTGGTGGTCAGTGTGTGTCATAGTGATCAGTCATTCCCAGTCTTTCTGCTGTTAGGGTCAGTTTGCATATTACCCTTTTACTATATAGGCTAGAGACCTGGTGCACGGGTGGGGGCTGGCTGGTTTGCCCTGAAGGGTGTCCCGGATCAGGGTGGGGGTCCCGCTTGGGTGCCTGGCCAGCCTAGGTGAGGGGCTGATGGCTGTTTGCAGCTGGTCACACCCCCTTCAGGGTGGGGGGTCCCCACTGGGGTGCCTGGCCAGTCTGGGTGAGGGGCTGAGGGCCGTTTTCAGGCTGGCTGGCAACTGAAGCTCCCAGCCTCTCCTTTTTCTCTTTTTTTTTTTTTTTTATTCTGGGATTTATTTACCTTCTATAATTGAAACTTTGTTGCTTTCGGAGCTCAGAGCCAGGCCATGGCAGGCGGGGAACCTTGGCTTCCTCCATCACTGGAGCAAGCAAGCCTCCTGCTCGCTTCAGCTGCATGGCTGCTGGCCGCCATCTTGGTTGGGTTAATTTGCATATCACGCTGATTAGCCAATGGGAGGCATAGCAAAGGTATGGTCAATTACCATGTTTGTCTATTATTAGATAGGATATTTAATATGTATTAAATGAGGGGCCTTTAAACAGAAACACACATAAAACAAGGTTATGTATTGATTGTTGACAAAAATGTTGTCACCAGAGGCTGGCAGGAACCTAGTCCTGTACTTCCATCAGGAGCCAGGTGTTTAGTATTCGCTAAGTCAGTGTTTGGGAAACTTTATAGAACATAAGTACAACAATAATGAGAATCTACTGTATACATAGTCCTCCCTTATCCTGGGGGGATACATTCCAAGACCCCTCCCCTCAGTGGATGCCTAAAACTTTGGATAGTACTGAGCCTTTATATACAATTTTTTTCTATACATATATATCTCTGATAAAATTTTAATTTATAAATTAGGCAAAGTAAACGATTA